ATAAAAAATTCATAACTTCATATCTACATGTCCAATTGACCTAAAATTATCTTCAGTAGTTACCTAACATCTCAAACGTCTGATTTGAAGGTCCTCGCCTGTTTTGATCAAAGAAAACCAAATTATCAAATATAAAAAATTTCAGCCAAAAATATCTCACAAAACCCTAGAACTAGTCACTACTCTCTCTAATCTTCCACCAACTCTAAACCTTTGATCACCAATCAAAAAGCCCTAAAGATACCGTAGCCATCCACATCACTGTCAACTGTAGTATCTAACATAAATGGCCGGTCTTGATGCTGATCAATCTATGGCTACTTGTGAAGTGATTTGGATTCCTCAACTAACACTCCAAAAGGCAGTCTGCTGTCAAAAAAATGCATAACCACATAGCTCTTTTCTTGTCTCTAGAAAGTGCCACTTAGTATTTTTAGCAGGAAACCAAGTCCAGTACCTCTTAGCAAACAAAGCAATCTAAGTATAAGCCTCATAAATCAAATGGTTTGCCATGATCGAGGTAGTGCAGCACAACTAGCAATACCTAAGATCAATAATCAATTTTCCAACCAAGCATCAGCTAGAAATTGTAGTTTGTTCATCATTTTGATTCATGATTTAAATAACATTTACTACACCGACAGGGTGAAGTTTTAATATACAGTTGTTAGACTATAGCTTTATAACCTGGTAAAGCCTGACGAATAAAATAAGAAATCGAAGGCCTCTCAAGCCAAACTGTTAATCTTTCTTCTCAAGAAGTGAAAGAAATTATATTGATTTCCTTATCCTATGGACGAGAATTTATGTTTAACTTAACTGGCGATCTCTATTTCACTTAAACTTCTTTATCATATGATTATATGATTGATCCATTAGGAATATCCTCAAAATGCAAGTCCAATAGAACTGATGAATATAATAAAGTCATCTCTTTTATAGGTTCGCACACGGAATCTAAGATTTGACACACATTGCTAGCTGGACTCGCTCAATCTGATAAGTTATGTGGGTAGGAAGCATGTACAAAGGAGAACATTAGACCTGACTATAGTGTACATGGAGAACACTCAGTAGCCATCAAAATCTTATTGTTTGGTGAACCTCTCTGTGGGCTCCGAAAATTCCATTTTGTATGTGATCCCGGCCTCTCTGTGCCAAGAGGGATGACACACGGGTGCACAGCTGCGGCTTCAGCGTCGGCGGAAGGGGCGGCGAAGGCGGCTAGGTCGGTCGGAGGTAGAAGGTCGACGGCGAGGTCGGGCTTGGACGGTCGGGAGAAGAGGTAAGTTTTCTGAAATCCTTTCTTTCTCTTCTTTGTGCGTCTCTCTTGAGTGTGCGTGTAACCGTTTGAATGAGAGGAGGTTTTATTTTTGTATCGTGAGTATGTCGGTTCCTGTCGAGAGAGTCGGTGGGCGAATCGTCATATCGTTTGGGGCTTCAGTAAGAAGAGGTAAGAGAAGAAAACATCATCCAACTGAACAACTTGCTGCACGAATCTTGGTAAGAAAAATATTAGCCCAAATATTGAATCTACGTTTTCTACAAAAATATTAGCCCAAATATTGAATCTATGTTTTCTACCTTGGTTGCACGGGAAGGGACTCATTCATAAGACAAAATCAAGGGAGCTCTTAACCCAGTTCTCCAAGCTATTAAATAATTTTACCTTCTTTCATACATCCTTTTCTTAGGTCATTCCTAGTTTCAAGGTGCACAAAATAAAAAAATGCAAGCAAAAAGTGGGTCAGTGCATATGAAAGCATAGAGATGAATGGCAAAGCCCTACTTTAAAGTGTGAACTAGTGTGTTTTATGAAAAAAAACAAAAACTGTAATAAAATTTTATAATATCTGTGACCATTCAGAAGTAGAGATAAGTGACAACTAACTAGTGTCAACAATAGTATTTTTGAGAAAAAAACCGTCTCATTCTTGAAGTAGAAATAAGGAGATGCTTCAAAGGATATCTTCTTGATATTATAGCTTATTGAATTACTGTTCATTTATTCATGGAAATGTAAAATCTTGAGTAACCTTCAAGCATTCCTTTGCATCAAATATTAAATATTTTTGTGCAAGTATAGATTCACGATTAGAACTGTTTTCGCTAGGTACGACTTAAGGCTAAGACAAGAATGCAATAGCGATGCAATATGGAATAACCGAACTCTGAGCGACAAATATTACTTCCCAAAAATGTATTATGTGATTCTTCTAAACAAAAACTAAATTTCAAAGCGGATGGCTTTAGAAAAAAAAATATTTTTTTTTTATGAATTTTCTTTTTAAAATAAGTATTGGCTTGAAAGTTTACCAAAATTTTCTCATTTGGACAAGTTTTTATTTTAAATTTCCATCTCCTTCTCATAAAAAGCAGATGGAAAAAAGGCATGAGGGTCAATCATGTGATTGAGAGATTTGGGCTTCTCTTTTAAAGTGAAATAGGTGTACTTGAATTTGGAGAAGAGCATTTTTTTGTGCCACATTTATTTGTACACTTGTATGGCTTCTAAATAGTGGCTTGGTTCATCTGTCCTCTTGAGAATGTAAGCTATTGTTTTAGCCGGATGGCATAAATATTTGTGTATTTTTTTAATGTTAAATCTCTTTATTATTAGTAGTAGTAATAGAAGTAGAAAAAGTACTAGTAGTAGCATTTTGTGTGCTAATATATTTGTTCATGTTATGTGCTTACATATAAAAAAGATTTTCACATTCAAGTCTAGCTAACAACGAATACAATAATTATGAAAGATTAGTTTGAGAAATTTGATAGATCTAGAAATTTTTTGCAAACAATGAGGCTAGTGGCTATATTATAAGAAATAGCATGCCATGCAAGATGGTTTTGACACAATCAGATTGAAGAAATGTAAGGGTGCAACTAAAACATGAAAGAAGTCGAGTATGTACTAAATCTTAAGAAGAATTTGATATCTTTAAGTGTTATTAGTCCTACAAGATGTGAATTTTTAGAGAATATTGAAGTTGCTAAAGTTTGCAAGGGCTTGCTATTATAAAGGCCAATAGAGTTGGTGAACTCATAGGTTACAGGTCATAACTTTGAATGGAGCTAATTCAGTTCCATTATCTCCAGCGTTGAAGCACCATAATCTGTTTGATGCATTAAAAAATAACTTTGTATTTGCAACACATATCCCGAAACTTGGGACATAAGTTAGGGGAAAGATTATTGGACATGATCAGTTGAATCAATCTGATATTGTCTAGTTTGCCCAAATCTTGGTCATACCATTCTAACATTTAGAGTAAGGTGATATCCACTTCAAGAGCACAAATGTTTAGCACTTCTAATATCAAAGGATCTATCTCCATGTGCAACATATGTGCTTTAGAAATCTATCATAGGCGTTAAGTTCAAGCATCATCTGAGAAAGTGAAGTTACATGATGCTTAATCCTTTCGATCTTTGGGAGTTCTGGCACTTGGTTTTGGGGGGGGGAGGAGTCACAAAGATTCAAAATAAATTTCCATAATATTAAGTTAACTGAGAGAATTGTTAGGATATTGACTCAATAATTATGGCATAGGAGATAATTGATTCAATAATTATGGCATGGGATCTATAGTTGTAGTTGAGATTAGTGTAAATTTAACACAAATTTTTCGGACATCATCTCCTTCGATAAAAATTAGTTCAAATTTTTGTTAAAAATTATGATATTAGAACAACATTTCGGTTTTAATTCTACCTCCTTAAACTCCTATAAATAGGAGAGGATGAGAAGGTGAAGAGTACATGTGCTTGAAAGATTTGTGGCTTTTCTTTTATAATGAGACTAGAATATTTAGATTTGCGAAAGAGTGTTTTCATATGTAAGTTTCATTTGTATAAATGTATGGCTTCTAGGCGGTGGATTAGTTCCTCTTTCCTCTCCCTTGGATCTAGGCTTTGTTTTGGCCAAACCTTATAAATCATGATGCCTTCCATAGGTGCTAGATCTCTTTAGTGTTACTTTGTTGTTGATCAACCTTATTCATGGCGGGCACTTTGTATAAAAATTAAGGTATCACAAGTATCTCAACAAAAACTGTTTTGTGCTAATGAACAGGTGACAAGTTAATGCGTCCTTGTAGACTGTAAACGGTTAAAGAACCATCAACCAGGTGCAGCACACCATTCTACAGCGCAAACAAAGCCTTGGAAAAATAAAGTGATATATTAAATATGTGTATCAATCAGTCGAATAGAAAAATGAGTTAGTCGATATCAGTTAAGCATTTCCCCAAAGCAACCGTTACATGAAGTTATGAGGGAGAAATAAGAAGGTCAATTTTTTAATGATAGGCAAACCTCAGATCACGCTACTCAAATAAAAGCTTTTCCTTTGTCACCCACTGTAAACAAATAGAAACGGACCATAGGAGAGAGCAGTGAGGGCACCGATTCCTGAAGAAAAAAATAGATTTCCAAGGTATAATAAAAACAGCTAAACCCCAAATCAATTTATCGACAACCACAATGATTGGATTTTATCTTCAATTTTTTTTAACATGGTTGTCCTTGGATCAGCACTTATTATCAAAGCGACCGCGCTTACTCCAAATGGAAAACAACTTACCAAAATCAAATCCTGTCAAACAAATCAATAACTTCCAACTATATTTTATGGCAACAAAACAATCATTTCAGAGATCGTGATTTTTTTTCGTATTTCACAACATAGCGACAGCGCTTACCCCAAATACAAAGCAACTTAACCAAAATCAAATCCCTCCAAACAAACCATTAGCAAACAAGCGATCAAATCAGAGATCATGAATTTCTTTCGTAGTCACAACAAAAGCAAGGAGATCAAAGCCCTTTCCCAGAGGCTTCGTCAAAATTGAATAATTCCCTTTACAAACCGAAAGTAATAATGCATTCCTATAAGAATTTCCCATTCAACCAGAGCACGACAACCAAACAAGAAACCAAAAGATTTGATACAAGAAGCAAGAAAAATCAAACATCGTTGCAGGCAAAGAGAAATTGACCTGATGAATGGGAGGGTACATAGAATTGGTGCAAACTGGGCATTCAAGCAGTTCGTTGATGCTAGTGGTAGGGGAGATCCCTGGAGCCGGCGTTGCTCCATTAAGCGCCGCTGCACCATGGAGCTTGGCAAATTGGTGGTGGAGATGAGACGGTTCATCCTCATCCATTCCATCGCACGACGACACGCACTCTACGCTATCCAAATCCATGCACTCAAAGAGAAAATAACAGACTTCTCAAGCTTCTTTCCCTCTTCTTTCTTCTCCTCCTCCTTCGTAGACCTCTCGATCCAGAGAAAACCCCGCAAAGAGGAAGGAATGAGAAGAGAGGAGGACCAAGAAGGAGATGAAAGAGGAGAAAGGAATGGTCCAATGAGAAATTATATCGTGCACTCAGCCCAGCATCTAATCCGTGCACTAAGCTTGGTCTAAACGCCACCTGTCCCAATACAACCATCCAACGGTGAAGGAGATGGAGACTTCTTCTTCGTGAGAGGAGCAATAATTCCTGCCTAGAAGACGACGCCGCACAGCAACTGTACGGGATTTCTTTCTTTCCTTTTTGTGTATTATTTAAGGAATCATTAGAATGCAAATAAAAAATCACAAGTAATTACAAATCATATATATATTTTTTATAATTTTAGATTTAGTATAATATATTTATTTGAAATTTGAAAATAATTTTATAATGAATTCAAAATGATTTTTTTTTGTTTGAGGATATTTTTAATATATTTGATTATTATTTTATATTTATTTATTGTATATGTGAAATATAAAATTTTAAATTTTACATTTGATAAATTTGTGGGTTAAAAATAAATTTCAAAATTTTAATACATTTAAATTTAACAATATGATGGAATCATGCAAGTTTTTTTATTATTATTTTTAATTTACAAGAAATAAAATAAAATAAAATAAAATTACAATCTAAAAGTAAATTATAAAAGGCAATTTAAAATTTCATCAATACTTATTTGTAGTATTCGTTTTTGAAGGCTCCCTCACTAAAAATGACTTATTTTATGAAGGCTTCTTCAATAAAAGATTACTATTTAGAAGTAAAATAATAATGGAGGAGAAAGGAAAAAAATAGCTTTGGCATCTACACTTTAATTTGGTATTTTCATATTAGCAAGAGTTTTGTCACTCATATTTTGACTTTTTAGGATGTTTTGCTTGGTAATCTCATGAAATCTTCACCAAATGATAAAAAGTACACTCCTTATACTAAATTTTTTAGCGCAAACTAATACTACAAAAGGATATTAAGGATCCAATGAATTTTAATGGTGTGAAAGTGGAGAGATTATCTGTGCAGCGTCCGAATGCGTCCTCGAACGTCCGGAGGTCAATTTGGACCTGTCACGTCATCCAATGCATTGTGCAGGGTGATGTGGCGCGTCCGAATTGACCTCCGAAGACGTCCAGATGCCGCACCTAAAATTTTTTCGTGAAAGTGGTTCTCTCTTCTTCGAAAGGGAAGGTTATTCAGACGGTGAAGCCATTTTATATCACCCTCACTTGAAATTTTTTCCATGATTGACCCTTGGATGTCCTTAGACCTTTTTTAGTGAGATTAGGACTTTTCAATAATATGTTAGTTGATCATTTTAAGTTTTTCACATATCATCATCCATTTATTAAATGTTAATGACTATGGTATGATTTTCTTTAGCATTGCTCTTATATTATTAAAGGAGGTTAAATAAAAATTTTGAAATGGTCTCATTTTCTTGATATTAACCATGAACTCTCAATCACTCCTATTTGGATTTTTCTACTTGATCTTAGATTATAGTTAATTTGCATGAGGATCTTATCTCCAATTATAATTTATTTACAAATACTTTACAAGTGGATATGATTTATGGATGACAGATCTCTAAACCAGCTTATGTATATATTCTATTTGGAATTTGGAATTGGTGTTTCTAAACAACATAAAACCAAATGTTGGAATGATTTTCCATAAAAATAGGTACTACCAAAAAATCATATTGTTAAATCTTTAGGCATACTAATTAAAAGGTTATTACTAAATGGAAAATTAAAGATTGCATATACTAATTAAAAGGTCATTACTCACTCTGAAATGAAATGAATTTAGAAGAATCTTGTTAAGGTGATTTCTAATGAGATAATTATGATAGATGATCATGACTCTAAATCAAAGAACCAAAGCGCATTTGGAAGATTAATTCGTAATTTGGATTACCAAATAATTTTCAAATATGGCATGTTTATAGTCAAATCGATCGAGCGGCTCGACGAGACGAATCCAACGAGTCTAAGATAGTCGAATTATGATATCATTAGAGCCTTCAAATACCTGATAAATGGTCAACGATCAAGGGATTCAACATCGATTGTCCATTCAAATCACTTCCAACTTACCCCTGATCTTCCTCTTATTTACTAGACATGCCACTCTCAGAAAATTATAAATAGCCCCTCATTTCTCTTAAGAGGGGACCCAAGCAAGAAGCAAGAAGCAAGAAGAAGAAGAGAAGGAAGAAGCTCCTCATCGACCACCTCCGGAGTTCCACCCGAACTCCAAGTGACGTCGGAGTTCCGTCCGACCTTTAAGTGACATTGGAGTTCCACCCGAAATCTAAGTGACGTCGGAGTTTCGTTCGACCTTCAAGTGATGTCGAAGTTCCGTTCGACCTTCAACTGATGTTTCTAAGTGACGCTAGAACTCTGTTCAACTACCGACGGACACCAGTTTTCTATCTGATCGCCAACTGACACCAGCATTCTAATATATGTTTGAAACTCAATTTCAACCCAAAAGTTGATTATTGTAATCTGATCGTCCTAAATTTTAGGGACGATTCAGCCTCTTGTAACTTAAGTAAATACTATTGGAATTCTTTCAACTGGGCATGGCCCCGTGGTTTTTACCTTTTCGGGATTTTCCATGTAAAAATCATGGTGTTTTATTTCTTTTATGTTTATGTGTTGGATATTCGTATAACACTGAGATGTAAAATTCTAACTCCCTCGCCGCGTATATTCTAGCCCGCAACAAATATATATTGATAGTATCTCAGCAGAATCATTTCACTTCATTAATTTTTGTATACTACTTGTACAATTAAGATAATACCTAACATATTATAAAATTCAAAAATTATAGATGGTACTCTTATGATGCTCTAGAAATATTTGTTGGAGCTTTCATTGATTCAAAGCAATGCCTTTTATTGCATAATATTGTATGAACGTATAACATGTTCCGTATCAATTTTTAGAATAGATTGTAATATAAATTCAAGATGTTTGGCCTATTTTTTCCCCATTTTTAGGGTTTATGCTTGAGCTTAATAAAGGACCCCTAGAGATTATTGCTTAGATCATGGAATCATAATGATAAATTGATTAAATGGATTAAGTCAAATAGAAAAGAAATATGATGAAATCAAAATACTAATCATCTTAATCATATTTAAAAAAATAATAATTTAATTGAAGTAAAAAAAAAGGTAAATTAAAACTTTGTACTAATTAATCAAGCATGTTAATCAAATCAAGATAATATTATAGAACATATAACCTAACTAAATATTAAGCTTAATATCAAAAAAAATTTTAAAAAAAATCATATATAAAGGCATTAAAATTATCTCTAATTCACTTGGTAGGTCCAAAAAGTTACAATCACTCTCTTTCAATTTGATTTCTAAGCAAAGTGCAAGCTTCAAAAATTTCAAGGTATCTCATGCTGATTTTAATTTGAAGCCTTGTAGTTTGGAGTTCTTTCCCTGAAATGTTAGTATACACAAGAGCAAATACAATTCTTTCAAAATTGTTAGGAGATACCTACACATTTGAACAATAATGTTTGAAATCATCAAAACTTTATAAGTTGCCAAAAATGTAATGCATGCAAATAGCAACTATCTTAACAACTAAATGGAAATTAAAGATTGTATATACTAATTAAAAGGTCATTACTCACTCTGAAATGAAATGAATTTAGAAGAATCTTGTTAAGGTGACTTCTAATGAGATGATTATGATAGATGACCATGACTCTAAATCAAAGACCCAAAGCGCATTTGGAAGATTAATCCATAATTTGGATTACCAAACAATTTCCAAATATGGCATGTTTATAGTCAAATCAAGCGGCTCAATGAGACGAATCCAACGAGCCTAAGATAGTTGAATTATGATATCATTAGAGCCTTCAAACATCTGATAAATGGTCAATAATCAAGGGATTCAACATCGACTGTCCATTCAAATCACTCTCGACTTACGCCTGATCTTCCTCTTATTTACTGGACATGCCACTCTCAAAAACTATAAATAGCCTATCATTTCTCTTAAGAGGGGACCCAAGCAAGAAGCAAGAAGAAGAAGAGAAGGAAGAAGCTCCTCCTCGACCACCGTCGGAGTTCCACTCGAACTCCAAGTGACGTCGGAGTTCTGTCCGACCTTTAAGTGATGCTGGAGTTCCACCCGAACTCTAAGTGATGTCGGAGTTCCGTTCGGCCTTCAAGTGATGTTTCCAAGTGACGCTAGAACTCTGTCCGACTACCGACGAACACCAGTTTTCTATCTGATCGCCAACTAACGTCAGCATTCTGATATCTGTTTGCAACTGAATTTCAACCCGAGAGTTGATTATTGTAATCTGATCGTCCTAAATTTTAGGGATGAGTAAGCCTCTTGTAACTTAAGTAAATATTAGTGGAATTCTTTCAACTGGGTGTGCCTATTGGATATTTCATTTTCAGAATTTTTCATGTAAAAAATCTAGTGTTTTATTTCTTTTATGTTTGTGTTGGATATCCATATAACACTAAGATGTAAAATTCTAACTCCATCTCCGCGTATATTCTAACTCGCAACAAATATATATTGATAGTATCTCAGAAGAATCATTTCACTTTATTAACTTTTTTATACTACTTGTACAATTAAGATAATACCTAACATATTATAAAATTCAAAAAATATAGATGATACTCTTATGATGCTCTAGAAATATTTGTTGGAGCTTTCATTGATTCAAAGCAATGCCTTACCATGCATAAGACCTTATCATGAAAACATGGAAAAAAAATGATGTGAGATTTTTTTATGAACAATGCCAACTATTTGATGAAGAAAAAATATTAGGATACAATATCTTAACCTAATTTAGTAATTTTCAGCATGGAGGACATAAAAATTAACATGTGGCTTGATTTCTTTTCACGAATATTATAAGAAATATGAATATATTTGCATAAAAAATCTACTCAAAATATTAAGATATTGTCCTATAATATTCAATAGAATATTTATCATTGAAGGTGAAACAAAAAGTTTCCCAATAAATATAATAGTTCTATAGAC